GCACAGAGAGAAAAAAATAGTCATTTTTGGACCCATATTTTTATAATTCCTCCAACGTAATTTATGGTTGACCTAACAATATTATAGTTCTCATAAACACAATATTGGTCCATGCAATTATAAAAATATGGTTGGGTCCAAAAATGACTATTTTTTTCTCTCAATGTGAGAGAGAGACATTTAAAATTCTAAAGTTTTGTTTTAGTTTATAATCGTATCAACTCTTTCTTTCAGAGCATACACGTATATGTATATCGCTTGACCACTGAATTTTATTATTGACTTCTTGTCACAGAATAAATAAAAGTATAATTTATGTGGTTATAAGATACGATGTACTCGAATCTATTCCAAGCATCTTCTGCTTGTCTCTCCCTCGCTATCTCTGTATGTTTTGCTTTTCTGAGATATAGATACATTGTTTTTCTGCTCTTATACATTATAGATAATCTGGTCCTTTTTCCTTGGCTCATTACACAACTGTAGGATGCGGTTCATAGGAGCCCTATTGAAGGAAGACGAAACCTAGAGAGAAACCTTCGCTGTACAATCGGGGCTTTTGATAATAATGTAACGTAAGTCCAGTTCGTGCGGAGTATGTAGGCAAAGATATAAAAAAGGGTAGCTTTTTGGACGTTAATTTAACGGCATTGAAACGAAGATATAAGATAGCTTATGGAATAGACGGGGAAGAAAATTCTTGTAAAGTTCTATCCTTGAATGTGTGCACGATACGTCTTCGTAATTGCCGCTTGCTTGCTTCTCTTTCTCTCCCTTTTTAATTTGTAGCAGGGGAAGGAGAAACCGAAATAATTGAACTCACAATAAATTCACATTTGCTTGAAAATTGGTTGCACGCAACGAAGCAATAAAATAAATTCGTGTCGAAATAATTGCTACGGGAAAAAGATAAAAAATGGCTGTAATTTTTACATCAATACTTTATTTCTCTTCCGACAAGAGTTACATACATACGTCATTTTTGCACACATTGTTCTTCAAGTTTTACGTAAGATGGCTCGACTAATTTATGCTCATGCCAATAATTTTGCGGAGTAAAGTGGAATTTATTAAAAAATTAAATCAAACTTATTTTAACTTAAATTTCGCGCGGATAAAAATATCGTCCAATGTCAAAGCATTCCTAACAAATGAAGTTCAATAATGTAGAAATAATTAATTTAATATCACTTTGATATACAAATTTCCAAGTGAACTCAGCAATTAGCCCCGGCATGGCGCTGATACGGAAATAAAGTTCTAACTCATTAAATTTAAATCATAAAAACGTTTCATTAAAATTTCTGCTGTACTGCAGAGTCAACTATTTAAGATTCCTAAAATAAGCGACTTTTCCAGCGAATTCATATTAAACGGTTCATATTCAAACTTATACAAAAAGTTACATATATTATAAATAGAATATATAAGCAATTAAGAATATTTTAACGAAGGGCCCGAGTCAAAATTTTGGTACTATTTTGACACTTTGAAGGATAATTTACACTTACATAGACCGGCAATAACCTACTTCGATGACATTATATTTTTTCACTCCTCCCTGGAATCTTTAATTCTAAAAATTTACTTTAGCTCCTACTTAAAAGGACCTACTTTAATGCTAAATTGGCAAAAGTAGAAATTTCCGACACTATCGGTTTTAAAGTAGGAGTAAATTTTGTACTTGCTGTCTTTTTGTACTTTTACTGTCTTAGGTCCTACTACATAATAGAATTAAAGGTTCAACATAGGGCCAAAATTTCGACTCGGGAGCATAATGTATTTTCTTAGATAAATGTTGAATATGCGCTGTAATTATAGGTGCCTTAAGATTATTGATCGCCGCTAATGTATCGAATACTTAGAAGGCGCGGCACCTAGTCACATTAGCGTAACCTTGCTCCATTGAAATAACGGTCTTGAACGCGACGATTTAATTCATAACGACCACTTAATGCGCCCCGCGTGATTCTCTAAGCCGAGCACGACTTTGATAACTCGACGCATCGTGTGGCTAACAAGTATCGATAATCCGTATCGAAATCCGCGCATATCGGACATGTCGGGCTAATTGGTGTTTCACTTAACGAATTGCATAGTTCCACCAAATTCGAATACTCGCGATAATTCGAGTTCGAGTACTCCTCAACTCCGATAATCTTGCCTTCGATCTGATCGGCCGGCGTCGCTCTTTGCAGCTCTAGCGTACGTTTAATAATTTTTTCATGGCGTTACGCCAACGTCCCGCCGCGTATCGCTGCATCACGGGGAGTTATGCGCGTGGTAAAAAGTGGCTCATTTATTACATGTAAGGCTAATCTCGTGGGATCGGAATTACAAGTCTTGCGACGCGGTCGTTTAAATTATGACCGGCACTTAATGCACTCCGTATGTAACTATAACACATAAGCCGGGGCGGCTCGACAACTTCGTAGAGGCAGCATGCCAGGAACTCGTAATTGTTTTGAATTAACGATACTTTAAGCTGCGCCCAACTGCGGACCATTATGCGGTTCGTCCATAACGATTGTACCGTCCAATTGTAACACCAATTGCATACAGCCGCATCCTCCGCGCTAAAAAAAACAGGTGGCGTTTTGAAAAAAACCACTGTTTTTTCCATCCGCCGTGACTTCGCGGTATTAGGATCTCGTTAGTGACGGCTCGCGTATCTCGGTCTGTTTAATCACGTAAGTCGCTTTTATTACTTAAAAAATAGATGCGCGACGTGAGCTGAAAGTGACATTTCATGTAGTACAAAAATGCAAATTCGCGCACGTCCATTAACCGGTGAAATAAATTTCGGTGGCTTTTTTTTCTGTTAAGGAAGAAACGGTTGACCTGCTTTTTGAGGCCGTGACACACAGCGCCGTTAAATCTGGTTTAATCAATGGACGTGTCATGTTGCATGTACATGCATATACAGTGCGCGAGCATATACATCGCGCATACGAACGATACGCTAACAAGATTAGCGTTTTTTTTTTCATTTTCTCTTTAGGATATCTTTGAAATGCATATTTTACGAATAAAGACCCGATCGGTTAGATAAAAAAATCTGTCGGTTCGAATCCGCACTTCAACTTGAAACGAAAAGCGGCTTTTGTTGCGCCCTTTAAACTTAATTCGCCCGAGTTCTTTAATTTTTCGATCGCTCGCGCGATAAATATCGATGCTCCGACGAACGTCGTTCTTCCCGTCTCTTTTAGCTCGGCATGTAAAATCTGTAGCCCGAGCAAATTGGGTTGGGCTCTGTACATACGCTTGAATATAACACAAAGGTTCGAGTTTGAAGCTAAATATCACCGAGTTAACAAGCCTTTTTCAACGACTCCTCTGTTTTCCTACGTCCATATATGACCGGTTATACTATTTTTCGCCGATAAAACAAGTTACTTGAAACACGACACTCCCATTATTACATTTGTTAGACTAAATTTGTTTGGGATCCGATTTATTATAAGCTGCGATCTCGCGTTTCAAGTTTTCCTGACGATTGATTAAACGGGACTTATTTCCGCGTTTTCGATTACGCGGTCGAAATTGCGTTCCAGCGAGCGACCAATATAACATTTATGAATATTTTAGGCACATTTATATGACGTGTTTACTAATGTACGGAACGAGCGTGTTAGGCTAGGATAAATTGGCACGGCGGTATAATGTATTGATAGAGTTTATCCTTATTTAATGAGAGGTGAAAATTGAACGAAATAATTAATTAACGTGAAATCAGCGTGTGTCGCGCGGCAGTACGTGAAATCACGTTGACAAATTTCAATTACGCCTGTCCGATGTCGCGTAATGGCGTGGGTAATGGCGTTTGTACGCAACGACAAACATTTTTCTTACCCGATACTTCCGGCGGCGAAAGTTATATTAAGGCAAATGCATGCCCCGGCCGCCACGAGTGATGCTTATGACGCACCGGTGAATTATCGGCGGGCATCGGGTAATGCTGGTGACGGGGAACATATTAAAAGCCTGATATATTATCCCGTTACCGAGACGTTTTATTCGAGCGCCGCCTTACGTAATCCGTAACAACCGGACTAACGTTATTATCTATACACGTCGTAAAAACAAGCCTCGGATCTCCCGTAATTATCGCCCTTCGGGTTGTGTGTCGGGAGTAAGTTAAATTTATACGCTCTGGGGGAAAAAAAGAGACAGTCAGCAACCCATTTTGGGGACCCACAATTAGTAATCGAATTATTTGGATTGTCTGTAACTCGTATACTCTGGGAAAAATTTTGACCGTTTTTTTTCTTGTAGTTAAGCAACTTAACATTTCAGTTCGAGCGCCTCTTAAGTGAAAATTATCTTTGCGTTACTGAATCGACGGAACTAATCGAGAGAATCGATTAGTATTACCTAAAAATCTTGGATATAGATATAGAATAGGTGATTGCGATTTTTAGTTAGGGCCTGAGTCTTATACTCTTAAGACAGCCTTAAGACAATGTTTTATGTCTTAAGTCTTTGTCTTGAGGTAACGCACAATAACTGTCTTAAGTCTTAAAAGTACAAGACAGCCATCCTGCTCAGGCCCTTACGCGGGGTAAAATTCGTAAAACATTAGAGTTGCGAGCAATCGAAATAATTCGATCGCTAATTGTGGGCCCCAAAATGGGCTGCGGTCTTTTCTTCCCCCCCAGAGCAGGCGCGTGGAAGAGAGACGAACGCCGGTAATTACACAACTAATGTACTGCGGAAGACTATTAAAAATTACCAAGGATAAGGAGGCGTGTTCGCCCGTCCCGTATTTCCCGGGGAATAATTTCGCGCGAGGAGGGAGCACTTTGCCGCTTTACTTTCCACATGTACAAACTGGCAGAACGCGCTCCGACGTGGCCGTTTCACGCGGTGATGTACCGCCTCCCGTTTTCAAAATGATCCACCGCGGGGTGACGAGCGGGACGCGCAAATACTTATTTGCACCCGTACCTCCGCCGTGTTCGCGGAGCGACAGCGAACGGTGATAACGACAGCGCACGTACCTTGTCGAGGTCTATCTCATCTTGAGCATTGAGTTCCGGACAATTGAAGACGGTATCGACGGCATTATCGGCCCTAGTCAGACCGGCGAGCACCAACACCAACACGCACCACTTCATCGTTCACGTTAGAACCCCGAACTAATTAAGCGCGAGCCTTACAAAGCCCACTTGCGACGGGCAATTAATAGAGCCGCTTCCGCACCGCGCGGACGTCAGATCTCTCGATTTCTTCTTTCTCTTTCCGCGCCGCTCGGGGCCCGTCTCCTACCTACGCGCGCCCGTATACACGTTGCTCTTCCACGCGAGTGCTTCAGTTACATCTGTTTAATTCCGTCGGCGTTATCGTCGGCCCCGTAATACGCTTCAAAAGAGATTTCCGCTCTTCACTTTGGCATTTTTCGCCGCGAGCATCGCCCCCTCGAGCGATACTTGAAAGTGACTCGAGTATATATTCTCTTCTCCCCTCGCGAGACACGTTACGCTTAAGGTTTCTTTCTACTGAAACGGCAAAGCGCCTCTCCGTCGCAGCATAGCGATATCGCACTCGTATTCACCAAGTTGACCAGGTCACGCGACTTCTATCCAACTCTCTCTCCGTCTCGCTCGCTCACTCGCCCGCGCCTTATCACTATTGCACTATCTGCCCGTCCCGTGCTCGATGCCGAAGCGATTGAACTTAATGTCCAGCGCGCCTACAGGCCGCCCCGCTTTTGACCCGCAGTAATCAAGGCTCCTTCAGCGCATTCTCTTCTTCGTGCTCGATCTCTCCCGAGCTCCCACCGCGCGTCCAAGCACTTGGGTTTTCGTCGAATTCGCCCGCGGTTTGCGGCGAGAAAATCGCAGCACCGTCAAGTACCGTGAAGAAACGCGCACCATCAACACTGACAACTTTTACGAACGCCGCTTCTTCCAGATGTCCATCCTAAGTCGACGACTGGTTCTCGGTACGTGAATCATCCGCTTTTTATTCGGGAGAAAACCGCTAAGTATTTTGTGCCACTTGACCGGAGACTCCTATTGAACGATCGTATCGAGCGACGTGACACGCAGCGAGCAGCTCCGGAATCCTGCGAACGATCGCGCGGAGCTTCCTCCGCGGATATCCTGGAGAGAAAAAAAAGGGCCTCGATTTTTCCAGAGGGTATCCACCCGCGCAGTAAAATCCCCAATAATCAAACCGGACGTTACCGTCGACGGTTCCTCGGAGATAATTCTCGAGATACGGACAGAAATACCGTGGCGATGCAATCGAGAGAAACCTGAAGGCGAGCTCCGCAATTCCGCGCGGAATGAACTTCAGTTTCTCTCCCTCTCCCGATCCGCCGGTCGGATTGCTGCGCCGTCGTTTTCAATTTCCGTTTCGCCCCCCTTCTCGCGACTGCGAAAGCGAGCGGGCTTTCTCGGACAGTATCACAAGCGTTATCCACCGGCGTGCGATAGACGGATAAATGGAAGAGGCGTATGGATCACCGTGCCGCGCGCTTCCTGCTCCGCGTATGCGTACGCGATCGCGACTCGCAACACGTCGCCGATAGGTAGCCGGCGATCTCCGCAGGGAGGGATGTGTACGCGACGAAGTCGGAGGGCACTCTGACGTTCCAGCTGCTCTGTGCTGCGCTGGTCCTCGTTCGGCACAGCACGGCACGCCACGTCCGTCCTTCCTCCGTCGCGACGCCAGAACGAACGGAGTGTGAGGGGGAGAGAGAGAGAGAACGAGCGTGGGGGAGAGCGGGGAATAACGACGGTGGGCGGAAGAGCGACGGAGGATCGCGAGGGAATCTGAAAACGGAGACAATATGGGATGGTCCACGGGACTGTCACTCCCCACCGCTTCGCCGTGGGGTTGTGGTCGCCTTGTGGAACCCTGTATCGCGCGATAAAGATGTTGCAAATTGCGAGATGCAAACGGGAAGGGATAAACGCTGGTGGGATGGAATCAACCCGCGGACCTTTTGAAACTTTACTGATACGCGCAATTCGGTAGAGAAGAATTGGATCTTCGCTCTCTGCGGATTTTAAACTTTTTTAAGTGCGCCTACAATTAATGTGGCTTATAAAAATGATAATTATATTTTTAAAAATACTTTATTTTATTGTCTCTTGTAAAGTATTTTGCTTTAGAGATTAAAGACGCCAGGCTCTCGAAACGGCAGAGACTATTTCTGCGCTACGTTTCCTCCGCGTTAAAGAGAAGTAATTTTACCCGAAACGACCTTATAACACACATAATCCATAAACATTAGGATAAGTGAAACGTTTCTCCTTTTGAAATCTTTTTCCCTTTTTCGTGAATTTATTTCTGAAGACATGGCAGATAAATTCCACGATTCTCTCGTGGCCTGTTGCGGCCGAGGCAACAAATTACGAGACATATTAGCACTGAATTTTAACGAATACTCCTTTTTACATAATTCCGTTCCTTGCATATTTACATAATTCTTCCCTTGAAAAATGCACGAGGACGTAAGCAGGGAAGTGGATTGTGTATACGAAAAGGAAATTTCGCGAATATTTCGGGCTGCGGTGGAAACTTCCTCTTCGAACTCGCTACTATACAATGCCATCAGGATCATATCGATCGCACCAAGTATCTCGCACTCCAAATCGTGCTCGCAGGACCACAATGGGTCGAATCGGGAATTTCTGCCGGGCAAGACAGGGCTTTTGATTGACCGACATCTAATGTCTCACGCCTCGTTACGCGCTATCACTCGGAAAAGTGGTAGCGTATACGAGAACTGACGTGATTGTGGGCATCGCGCGAAGGTACAGTGGAAAAAGAAGTATTCAACATTCAGTAATGACATTTGCATCTTCAGATGTATAATAATCTTCCCAGTCTCGTCCGAAACTGTGTCGATCGTTATAAAACTTTTTCTGCTCACTCTGTCTCTGTATTTGTCTTCATTTATTAATCTGCGCAATTTGTCTTCGAAGAATGCAGTTTTGAATTTTCGCGAGCTCAAAAGGCTCTCGCTCCCGAAAACGTGCACTTAAATTTACGCGCTTCCACCTGGAATAAATATTCTCCATTGCAATTGTAAACTTCCTCCATCTCCCTTCTCGTTCGTACAAACGCGACGAACAGTCTCTCGCACCTAATCGATGTCTAATTACACGGTTTAAAAACGATAAGAAGTATCTCGACGACAGTTGTAATTGTTAAACCGGCAATTTCGCGGTTCGCTGCGCGCAAAATGCAACGAGGTCAAAAACGCGGGGGAACACTTTAGCAATAAGTCCGCGAAGAGATGCGCGGGCAATAACAGAAACGAGGGAGGAAGGGAGCCGTGTGCCGGAAACGGCGAGGAGGAGGATAGAGCTCGTGGAGCGCGCAGACCAAGACGATAAAACGCGAGAGAAGCGAGGAAAGGGGAGGGGGGGGGGAGGGGACGAACGGTGTCCATCGTGGTGACCGCATCGCCACAATAGAGTTTAATTCGTTCATTGAGATCGCCGTATAACGCAGCCCGTGTGCTGCCATCGCTGATAGGACAGCGACGACCAGATCGAGAGCGCCTCTGCGAGCCAAGATGTCCGGAACGAGGCGGAAGCACCGATGGAGCACCGCGTGCACCACGAGCGGTGGCTGTAAAGTACGGAGTACATGTCTTCCTCGAGTCTACTCGCTCTCCACACACCTGGATACTGCAAAGTAAAGTACCTCTCGCGTCGCTTGCGAGGATAACACGCGTTTACACGCGCGGACTTCATTTGCGTTTAATGCATTCGTGGGCGCGGACTCCCTTAGGAAGCGTCGAAGATCATCGCGCCGCTAACCGCCGGGGTATAATCGCGTTTTCTAGCGCGAAATAATTACACGCTTTGTATTAATGCCACGCATGGTTTATTTCTCATTTCGTAGGGACACTAATTACACGTGTGATATAATTCAAATGCGTCGCGCGAAGCAAAATACTTGGCCAATAAACACGTAGAGCTAGCTGGTGAACGTACCATAATATCTTTTCGCTATTTATATCATGTTTATTTTTCTCGTCTCTTGCATTTTTCTGACCTATATTTAAATGTTGCACAAGTATCAAAGAATACCTTTTTGTTTCGTCCGACACATATCAACTGACATGTTAAGTGTCAATTGCCTTCTCATTTCGTGGAAATACATGTGTACAATTAATAATGAAATAAGACCAAAGTAGAAATCGAGAATAATCGGAATCCGACATTTTAGCCAAATAACAAGGCATATTTTATCTAAATAACGATTATTAATAGGACACTACTGACTAGTGCGAAAGTATAAATAAAATTCTTTATCGCAGTGCATTGCGTGAAGGTAAATACTTATCTAATATACGTAGAGCTAGTTGAAGACGCGCGGTGACGGAACTTACGGTAATATCTTTTCTATTTTAGTTTGTCATTGTATTTGTTTGTCTTATCTCTTGTCTTTATCTGATCTATATTTAAATATTGCAGATAGTATATCACGGAATACCTTTTCCATTTTGCCCAAAATGCCAACTGACATGTTAAATGTCAATTGGCTATAAGCGCGAACGAACAGAATTAATATTTTAAAAATCTTTTCTTAGAAATAGCAATCTATTATAATAATTAACAATAATGAACCTGTCGGATTTTGAAAGACTAAAGAATAGAAATCGAGGATAATCGGAATCCGACGGTTTAGCCAAATTACTAATAACGCATATTTTATCTAACTAACGATCATTAATAGAACAGTACCGACAAGCGCAAAAATATAAATAAAATTCTTCATCGCAATCGCAATTAAACGGCTTGACACTATCCGCAAAAACGTACAGTTTGTGATACTGCAGAATTTACGCAAAACCTTGAGAATATTCGAAAGATTTCGAAACTCTAAACATTTTCATGCTGCGGAGTCAATTTAGGCCGCCGTGATGTATCGGCTCGAAAGCGGAGCTGCCGTTAAAAGAAAGCCATCGTTTCCTAGCGTTTGCCGCGAGATAATTGATGTACTCGCGATACGGCAACTTTGCCAAGTTAAACTTCCCCGGTAAAAAGAAAACACAGCCGAAATGCAATATCATCCTAATTTCTACCATTCGGCTCATGGCATTATTAATTCTCCTCGCTTGAGAGACGTCACGAATTCTCGGTGGAGAACTATACTCCGAAGTTGTTAGCCCGTACTTACCGGAATGACGTGCTGTCAGTCTTGCTCTCCAAGGAGATCGATTGTTAACTCAGCGCTCGCGGCCCATTCCTTTTTGCTGGTCGGCCGTCTTTCATAAGTTTCACGAATATAAAGTAAGACTAATCGATGCGAGCGAAGATGCATGACTCGTGAAAATAATTACACCTTGCGTATCGTGCAACACGACATCGGGCGGAAATTTTGCAGTTTAATTTTACACTCGTCCTTCGCGCAATTCTCCTTCCCCCCCCCAACCCCCGTTTCGCGACTGCATTAGTAACAATGCGTCATTTTAATCTCCTTGCCGGCCTTACAGCGATTACCGGCACGTACAATTAATATTGAACGGTGCATTTGAACGCGATGTGCCGCCTGCTTCTCGATCCCGCGGTAATAATTTTTTGAGAGTCGAACTAAAATATGAATAAGGAATTAAGCTAAACGCGCGGCGCGTGTTTGAACGGCACAATTTTGTTGCGCCGGACTATTTGTCACGTGTTAAATATTTATGTGTCACACGCGCGGCGCAGTCAAACACGGCGTATTTGCTAATGATATTCGTTGAATACAAAGCATATCGGTGTCGATCAATACATTCCGAATTACATTCCATCATCGAATGCCCCGTCATACGCGCTTCAGCGTGAATATTTATTATACACGGCAATTTCATATTTTACACTTGCCCGTCCCGTATCAGACGAGGCTAGAATTACAAGCTTTACCGGATGCTAATTAGAAAGCACATCTCATGCATATTTTCCTCGACTTCTCCGCGCTCTGAAAAGGTAAATCAGCGCGGTAGGATAAACTTTTTCGTTGTGCTCCCCCGCCCCCCGCCCCCTCACCGTCGTGGAATTATTCAACGCGGAATTTATAATGATTAGGTACAGCATCGCAAACACGCGATGCAAGAGCGCGGGGTAACGCGATCGCTTATCGAAATTACGGCAAGAGTATGAAAAGCATGAAAATATGATAAGCCCGTTACGCGCTCTTCGAAATTTCGCTCGCCAATCCCTCGTCGAAATGCACTTCTTGCCTGCATTTCGCACAAGTGGATTAATTAAAGTAGGAGGAGATTATCAGCTGCGCTGAGTGCCATTAACGCACAGTTTTAAAAAACAAGAACGTTATGCGCGAGTATTAGCGGGGGGGGGGGGGCGGAGACCCGCAGGGGAGTCGCAAGGAGAACGCGCTAATTTTTTCCCGGGGAAGAGGATATCTTCCGTTTAATAAGTCACTCTGGTGCAATCTGACGAGTCGGGGGCCAAGATACGCGTATATATTTATATTCTAATCTAGTTAACGGGCGCGGACATTATAAATAATTAAATTTACAGTTTTAACTGGCGGGGAGCGCGACGTCTCTGCCGAGAGTAGCGGTTCAAATCTCTCTGCCCGTACATTTATTTGTTCGTAAGCGCGAATCGCTTATCCTGCCCGTCAGAATTTTATCAAATGCGCCCGGATATTGTGCACGGGGATACCAATTAACTGCACGAAATACACGGCGCCGGCATACACGATATTTCCTTTAACGTTAA